TCTTTGTTTTCCTTTCAGAAGAGAATTCTGACTCAGACTCCGACTGAAGGCCTGCCCTGCCCTGGCAACCTGAGCCACGCGGGCCTTCACTCCTATACTTCAGATCCACTGGCCGGAGCGTGTGGCCAGGGGACTGGGTGTGTTGGGATGGAGGTTGTGACTTCTCAAGCAGCAGCAGGAGTTGCTGGTGGAGTGGGCCTCCTCACAGCCCCATGGTGACATTTCCAAGCCCAGCATACTAGACGGCGCCCCTTGGCTTAGCATATCTAACCACTCTGCATGGGAGGGCATCGTGAATATTTTGCTACTCCTTCTCCTTTCTGTCCCACAGACCTTAAAGCCCAGTAACCTCTCTGCCAAAAATAAGCACAAAAGGACAAAGCACATACAGCCTTGTGACCCCCACTGCAGGAAGCATTTCATGCTGGCGGTGGGGGGCAGTGGGACAGGACACAGGACAACAGACAAGTAAGACAGAAACCACCATGGGGCCAAGTGCCAACCCGCCACGCCCCAGTGGCTTTTGTTTGCTTTGGTGCCCCTGCTCATGCCAGGCACTTTGTCGAGAATGATCCTTCCAAGATTCTTTGGTTCAAGGAGCACCAGTTCCCTTTTCATTCTTGAAGCAGAGAGAAAACTGACCTTTGCCCTATCATCTAGGAGAGAGTGGGTCTTGGTGCCCATATCTGACACCTCACATCCTTGGAGAGCCTATCTTCTTCAGGTGACATGACTAATCAGGGTCTAAGACTTTCAAAGAAAAGTTCGTAGACTAGCTTACCACGTCCAACAGATTGAGGGTACCAAAAGATGCAATAGCAGTGCCCGCATCCTAGGTAGCTGGGCAGGCCCAGCCACACCCTGTGTCCCTGGGGGCCCACTGGCAGGCAGCAGGCTCCTGGGAGCTCAGGACAATGTGCTTCTAGACACCTGAGCAGGTCTCCTGACCACCTCGTTGAGAGGTGAAACGTGCCTTCTGTGTTCACCTGGGGACCTATGCTGTATATATCTGCAGTGGGATTTTTTAACTTTATATAAGTTTTTTTTTTATATAAAAGCTGCTTCTTAAATAGCATTTCCTGTGACCCAAGAGGCCTTATGAATGAGCCAGAGATCTGGACCCCTTTGGGGGCATTTGTAACTTTTATTCTTTTGCATGTGAATCTCCTACCCTGAAAATAGCCATAATGGATTAAACCAGACTGACTACCTACTTGGAGTGTGTGTGTTTGAGTAAAACCTTACACCACCCAGAGCAATGCTGTTGGTTTCATGCTTCAGCGTAGACTGGTCACATATGTGGTATGAATCCTGACAGCTCCATGCTGCGGCAGCAGTGCACATGCACTTCCATGCCAGGCACCCCACTAAGCGTCTCGCACCTGTGCTTATTTACTCCTCACACAGCCCTGTTTTACAGTCCGGGGAACTGACAGAAGGTTCGGTAACTTGCCCAGGTCCCCACAGCCCCTTGTAGGAGGCCCAGAGCCCTCTGACATATCCGGATAACGTGCCACAGCACCTTTCAGGCAGCCAGACCCTGGACTGTGGATGCCAGAGCTATCACAGTTGGAAACTGGTTACCTCAGGGGCCTCAGAGGGAGAGCTTGGGTCAGTGTTTCAGCTCAGGCCAATGGGAAGAGACAAGGCCTGCCCCAACTTTGACACACGTTCTGAAAATACGTATGAAAGTTGGATGTGCAGGAGCTGAGGGGCATATGGTGGGTGCTCCACCTTACCAGCCAAGCCAGCAGAGCTGCCTGTCGACACCTACGCCATGGACGGTGGCTGCGCTAAACCTCAACCTAACAGGCCTGTCTCAGGAACTGGGTCCACACCTTTCAAAGGGGTAGGAGGTGAGTCAGAGCAGAGAAAGACAGTACCATTTTTACATATCCATTTATTAAACAACTCCTTCATGACAATTTAATACAATATTAGCGATTAGTGTTGAGAAAATTATTTCCCTCTACATACAAAAATACAGATTTGAACACTATGAAAACAATCAAGACAAGTACCATGAAAAATTGGTCCTTTAAAAGAAATAGGGGGAAAATTGAGGGCATTGTGAGGCTTTGTTTGCCAAATCACTCCAAATGGATCGTCAAACCTAAGCCAGTCAGAGCTGGTGATGCCCACACCAGGGCACCCATGTCAGTTTGAGAAGCCAGGGTAGGAGCTCTGACTGGCCAACACCATAAACCAAAGTTTACCAAATAGGTATGACCTCAGAATACCCCACAGCTGTGTCTACTAAACTGTCAAAATTTTACGAAGCAAAGTGTAATCGTTATGAAATTAACATTGCCCCCCAAAAGTACCACTGGACCAAGTACCAATCAGTAATCATATTAGAGTTAATAGCCACCTGACTTGACTTCCTTTGTTAGAAAATAATTACGTATTCTGACCCTCAAAAAGGACAAAAAAAGCTACAATTTTATGTTTCAATAAATCCATTCCTTCATTTTGCAATGGCTCAGCTAGTTTCCTCAAGGTTTTTCTTGACTAGACAGAACTCGTATCCCACAGGGGTCAGAAAGCAAAAGGAGCAGATAAGAGTGTTATCTGTGTCTTAATTTCATCAAACTCCTCACAGCAGGAAATCTATTTTGTTCAGGCCTGAAACAAAAAAAAGGCCCCCAAGCCTACCCAGGGCATCCATGAACCAATCTTGAGATCTGAGTGGAACCTGAGAACAAGCAGAAAGTGAGCCTGGGACTAGGGAAGCCGCCCCTCTCCCCTGTCTTCCAGGACGCAGGCAGCAAAGCTCCTGGAAGACAGCAAGCCAGAGAACACCCTAGGGTTCAACAGCCCACGACAATGGGCCTTTTCACTGTTTTAGACCCAGAGAATAGAAGTCAGAGCACCAAGGATGTTCTGTTCTGTTCCTTTTTTATGGAACCACTTTCCTTTTACTGTCTGAGGTGAGCAGTGGCTCTCCAAACTGAACAAGTGGTTAAGAAATGCCAAATGCAGTTATACTGATTAAGAATTATTTCACAGAAATATACTCTTACTCTCAGACTGTTTAAATAAGCAGAAACAAGATGTGGGGGAGAAAGCAGCAGAGAGGAGATAGGAACGGCCAGGGGTGGTTTTGTTTTCTTTTTTAAACAACATATGAAATTTAAAGGGAAAATGGCCAACCTCAAAACTAGCATTGCTGAAAGCAATATTAAAAGGACACAATCTAAAATCATGCTACAAAAATAGTGTTATCTGGTTTAACTAAATGTACAACTTTTTTTCAGTTCCATGATTGACAAGAGTATTTATGTGACTGACACACAGAAGGCACCAAAGGTGAAGTGATTATTATCTGTCTTAAAATATACAGAAACAGAATTATCTACTCTGGGCGGAAAAAATAGTCATACCTGTAATAAATAGTTAAGTGTTTTGCCACGGGTTCCTGAACCCCTACAAATTACAACATATACAAATAGTTTCAATCCCTAGCATTCTCTTAGAGGGAACCACATCAAAATCAAGTTATGAAAAACACTGGTTTTATCCACATATGTCATCTCAATATTAGGTAGGATTTGAAAACACATGTTTAAATGGGTTACAGAGTAAGAGTTGGAAGCAGGTGGCCCCTCTGTGGGCCTAGGCCAGCCTGGAGGGCTATCCGGCCATCCGGCCCTCGCCTTCCTCCAGGAGCCAGCCTTCCCCCAGCCCTTGGACCAGCCAGTTCTCCCTTCAAGCCCCAAATATTTGCCTTCCTCACTTCTGCAGAGAGGGAAACAGAGTACTGAAACTTGCAAACTGATTCTGGAAAAGGCAGGAAAGCCTAACCGCCCATGGAGAGAAGCAATCGGACCTAGCCCTGCCTGGCATGGGTGGCACATCCCCACACCGTCCTCATTTCCTGACCTTCTCTTCAGGTGGCTTTCCTGATGAAAGGATATGCTTCCAGCAGGGTCCTCCAAAGAGGACTCAGATTTGACAATTTCGGATTATTACTGAATCCCATATAAGCCATTATCTGAAGCAACTGTGTCATCCCTTCTCTCCTCTGAGGCACAATTATGAAGAGAAACTTTGGATTGGACCTCACCCTCATCCCATCAACAAAGCTGATGAAGATCATAGGAGACAAGATTCTCCCCTTAATGAGAAGAATAAAAGTTCTGAAAGCTCACTAAAGTCCAGGCTATTAACCCCTTAATGAAGGCTCTCAGCCTTTCTGTGTAATGCATCCCCAACCACTCCAGGGTGTAGAGATAGCAAGTCACCTGAATTAAGGTCTTGGCATTAAAAATGTAGACAACAAACTAACCTGAAGAAAAAGATATACTAATCAAAGATCCATAATCTTAACTTAATTCTAGGCAAGTCATCATTGATTCAAACAGTGGGCTTGTGGGTAACATTTTCTTTACTGTTATGTTTATGGAATAAGAAAAACTAGAAAAAAAATCCCCAAGGTTGACATATTTTAACCAAATGAATGAGAACGTAATCTAGACCAAAGACGAGAAAATATACCAGGACCCACTCCTCTGTTTCAAACCTAAGAGTATATAAATGCCGTTTACTTTCACTTTCAGAAAATAATCATTCTAGTTCTAACAGTTGTTACAGGTATTTTCTTTCTGAGACAGTTTCAAAATAAAAGAAATGTAAAGGGTCAAATATTTCAAATTACCTTCTCAACCAGACAGCTTTTATGATTTCAACAACATCTGCCGAGAAAAGAAGAAACAAGGGTTTTGTAAAGAGCTGGGAAGTTTACAAAGCTCAAGGCAGGTGGCGCTAGGCCTGCATCCTCTCTCAGGTGGCACTCAAACCAGAACCTGAGTCACCTGTCCAGACCCGCAAGTTCTCAAACGCGACACCAAGAACTGCCCTGGAGTGCCAAGACTCACTGGTCCCAACATTCATGAGTTCTTGCTCCCAATCTGATTCCAGACCATAAGACCTCACTTTTGCCAAGATAAAAGGACAGGAAGGTAGTTAACCAAGCACATTTTTTCAAGACTGCCTGGGTCAGTAACCAGTCTGGTGTTATCGACGGTCCCACAGCAGATGGTGTCTGCGGCATGGGGCCTCCTCCTTCCTCCTCTCACCTCCCAGACCTGTCCTTGTTCCCGCTCAACAGCCTGTCATCTCCCTGGTCCTACAAGTGAGTGCTGATAAAGATGCAAGACCTGGGGAAGAGAGAACTCCTGGGTTCTACAGACTTCACTAGGAACTAAAAAGTGTCTGGAGACCTCACGAGCTAATGGCAGTGTCTGGAGCAGGAAGCAACTTTTTATTCTGCTTGAAAGACAGCAGCAGCAGCAGCAGCCGCGCCCTAGGAAGTGTTTTTACCTTTTGCTACCTATTTAACATCATTATTTTCCTATAAACAAGATATGGAAAAAATGACAACCAGACAGCGGCCCAATACGATGACCTCATGGTTGCTTTGCTTTGAACAGGGATGGCAAGGTGGGAACCACTTATATCATCCCTGCCTTCCAGAATCATGTTGTCTCTATACTCATCTGTTAGGACAAGATCTAAAAACAACCCAGAGAAAATCTTGCACAGCCAGAGATCAGAACTTGGTCCGCCTCTTAAACACATGGAGTGGTGAGGGGTTTCCCAAACAGCATATGAGTGTCTACAAGAAAAGGTGAGGCTGGGCCACACATAGGACATGACACATGGAGGGGTCAATCAAGGCTCATTCCTTGCAAGTAAGAATTCAGACACGTGCAGACAAAGCATGTGTGCTTCCTCTCCTCAGAAACCACCTTAACCCAAGTTTGAATCATGAGGAAATCTTCGAAGAAAGGTAATTGAAGATACAAACTTTAAAAGAGTAGGAATGTTTTCAACTGAGTCACAAAGCTCTCGCCAGAAGCATCCAACCCAAGGTGGAGGTCAGATACTCCATGCCTACCTATGGGCATGAGCCTTCCTGCCAGGGAGGTAATGGCGACAAAGGGCTGGAGGTGTCATCCATCTCCCAGAGCCAGGCCCGGTCCTCACTGGCTTCCTTGTGGCCAGGCTGAGCTCTGCTCATGCTGGCCCTTAAGTTTAAGCTGCCAAAGAAAAGAAAACATGGGTATTGGGACTGAGCAGGCGCCTACATTCTTGCCTTTTTGAAGGCAAAGGTAATCTCTCTTGGATGACTATGGCTGCACCAAGTAAAAATCTAAAATAAAATACTTTAAATCAAACTTATGAGATTTTAAACTGTAAATGCCTTGGTCTTTCCCTGGCTTTATATGGGGCCAACAAGTGTCTTTAGGCTTTCGTGATTGTAATCTCTCTGTATAAAAGGGAGAAGGTATTCCCTCCCCTGCCCCCATTCCTTCAAGCAATGTGAAGGGAGGATAAAGAAGAATCAAAGAAAAATTTACCACATCAACCAAATCAGTGCCAAGATAAACTTTCTCCTAAGACGTCAATGTTTGCATCCATATAAAACCACCAAATGCTTGAGGGTTTCAACTATACAGTCTCCAGGAACAAATTCAAATGCACACAGCAACTTCAGCTCTCTTCAAGTTTGGCACAAACTATGAAAGCCATTATGCCACCAGAAAATTGAGAAACACTAAGATTGACTCAGCCTGAAAATACCACAAACCAAACTGACATAGGTCCATATTGGAACTGTTAAAAATGCAAAAATATGCTTCTTTCAATTTGCAAAAAAAAAGTCCTTTTAAGCTTCCCAAATCTATATTGTCTTGTTTGTACACAGAGGCAGCATAAGAAAAACGCAGGTGAATTTACATTCACCTAAATACTCATATACCCTTCATAACTTACCCACCACCACACTGCTGTAGGTGACGAAATATATGACTGTATCATACCAATCAGAGAGCCTACCTGGCCACTTCCGGTTATAGTGGGAGCTAATTAAATAGGAAGACACATATTTACAAAAGCCATGGGAGAGCCTCATGGCAAAGATATTAAATAGTTATAAGGACATAAATAATTTCAAAAGTTCTAACACTAAGATGCAAATGAACTCATAAGTTGCTCTGTGGCACAAGGTGTCATCACTTTTTATCATCTACCAGCATTTACAGTTTCCACGGGCTTCAGAACCCTTTCTTGCAGCTGACGATACGTCCTCAGGAGGCCAATAGGCTCTTTTCCACCAGATGATAAACTGGTTTTATTGAAGTGACTTGGGAAAACTTGGGCAGCAATCCTGCCCGAATGGTATTTCTTTTCTTCAATCTCACTTCAAAGGCGGCTTTTTATTGAGGCCAAGTAACATGATTCCCAGCAGATTTCCGATAAAGTTCAGGGTGGTCCTTCCAAGTGGGCCCCATTTAATGCAAGCCTGAGTCTTTGTGACTCTTTTTTAAAATGCAACTCACAGAGAGAGATAAGTCTAATTTTGACTATGTGTATACACTCAACAAATGCAAAATAAATATATAAAATGAACAGATAAAATCCAGATGTCAGAATCTCCTCAAAAATCACTACATGTAATAGGTTCAAAGTTTGTGAAGCACAATTTGTCCTGCCTCCCAATAGACATGCGAAGAGGGCTCAATCAGACCTTCTGGGCGATGTGCCCGGCTGTGACCAGGCTTGGCTGCCCTCTAGGGGAGCAGAGGGAGGTGAGTTACCACCAGACCAGCTGGGTCCGCACCACAGCCATGGGCCCTGAAGCAGACAAGGGGCTTGGACATGTGACCTGGGCCACTGCCTCAGAAAGGAACTGCAGCAGAACTGAGTGTACTGGACGTTCAGTTCAGGGAGCTAACCCCGAACCCCAAGCCTTCAGAGACAGCAGAGTAGCATTTCCTATAGAGTCCCCAGCCTAGCAGTGTCACCTGACCTATTTCTCAGCACTGCTCTTTTACGAAGAAAGCAATGCCACCATGCATAGATGGATACTTTCTCACACGTGCTCTCCTCCTGCCACCTTCAAAGATATATTCATAATCACGTTCTCTCTCTCTCTACACAGTACCCTGCTAAAACTGTGATCATTCACTAGCACAAGATCCTAGGGATTGTCCACGTTACTGCAAAATCTTCCCACCAGCAGTGTTTTTTCCTTGGTGAGGGCTAATCGCAAAATATTAGAGCTAGAATGAGGTTTGTAAACATTAAAAACAGTTCAAAGAGTGAAAACCTGACAAGTTAAAACAATTTTTCCATAAAAGAGACAATGTCTCTAACAGGAAAAAAACAAAAAAATTACAGCATCATAGGGGCTCGTTTAACTCATTCACCACAATAATCTTCACTTTATCAAGAATCAATCAAAACCTAACATAACTAGAATTTTCCCCAACAACTTCCAAGATTGATGTTCATAGTTTTGATCCTGAGGCACAAAAAGCTTCAATTCGTGCCTTCTGAAATATCAGTGAAAGGATGTGTCATGGTACAAATTCAAGTATTTTCAAATCCTAGACAAGTCTACTCAGAATCACTTTAGAACTCTTCTCAGGCATTTGAAAATTAGCACGCATTTCTAAAACAGAGGTGTACCCCTACCTGTGGTCCACAAGACAGCAAATTGGCAAGCGTTCTGGCTGGTGGAATGGACTGTATTTCTTTCCTGGCTTTTACCTGAGAAGGTAAAATTACAGAAAATCTGCAATTCAGCCTCAAAGTATTAAGGGTAGATAGGAAAGTGGAAAGCAAGACGGTCTCCATATTCCTGGAGAATCTGGGATTCAGGGAGGTGATTCGTTTGAGGAAGAATCAAGTGATTTCTCAGTAGGGTGGAAAACGAAAGGCGACCCCTCCTGCATGTCAGCAGTCCTGTGGAGCCGTCCCAAGAGGACACCAGCTTTTCCCATCCCCACAAAGTCCAGACCCAGCAAAGAGATCCACCAGCATCGCCAAGACCCTCAGTGCCACACGTGGCTTCCCAGGCCCGTGCTGGCTGTCTCGAGGCCCTGGACATGGAAGACGAGCAGCAGGGAAGGATCCCAGCAGCAAGACCAAGCGCTCACCTGGAGCACACGCTGAGGGCTGCCAGGGGTCACTGTGGGCTGACCGTTCCAAACCTGGACCTCCATTTCTTGATTTTTTTTTCCTTCTTCTAGCAGCCCTCATTTAATCCAAAGTCTTGACTTGTTACAAATACATATCACAGGGTGACTCTGAGTCAGATGGGAAGCCTGTACTCAAGGACAACGAAGACCTAAAGTGGACACGGCAGCCTGGGAGGCCAGCTGCTTCCATGGCCACCAAATGCTGGAGAATCCGTAGGCCTCTCCCACCCACCTCTGTCTGAACGGCTGGGTATGGGGGCTCCCTGCCTCCCATACCTGCCAACAAGGCCACTCTGAAAACCCTTTCCCAAAATGAACTTTTACCAAAGAGGACAAAATTCAGCTTAATCACATGAAAATCCGACGTGATGAGGGAAAGAAAACTTGATTGAAAGGATGGGCACGAGGACGAGAGGGAGAAGGACTCTGGCAGGTCCTCATGTGTCCAGACGCTGGATCTCTGGGCGACCGTCCACGTCTCTGGACTCCGTGCGGGCTCGGATGTAGTCATTGGCGCTCTGCTGGTGGATGCTGACTCGCCATTTCTGCACTGCCAGGAATGTGTTCACTGCATACACTGCAGTTGCCAGGAAGCCAAATATCTATAAGAAACAGGCACGGTCTTCAGGCACTTCAGCAGTCTATAGGGTGTCTAACAGCTGCCCTGTCAGTGCCATAGCCAAGTCTTTAGTCATATGACCCACGCAAGTCCTGCCTGACCTGAAGACAGCCTGAGGTTTCCTTCAAAGTATTTTGGATCTATTTTTTTTTTAACCACAAAAATGTCTCTTTTACAGCACCGGAATGGGCACCGGTCTCAAATGAGAAAATACATGTAGACAAATACCATGTAGACGGAAAACCAGGGTCTCATATGTGAGCCCAACTCAAGCCATAAGACCTGATGTTCCAAATCACAGCCCCCGAGCCCTACCTGCTGTCCGACTGCTCTTACCTGGACGGCTCCAAGTGGGCAGCTCCAGGATGAGAAGCAGCAGAGTTTGACTTATTTTTAATAACTGATAAATCTACTGAGTGACTCTGGGAGAGCAGCTACTTTAATATATTTTTTATAAACCTTTTAATCCCCCCAATTACAAAAGTGCTACACACTCTTTGTAATCGCAGAACAACACAGAGATGCAGAGTGCAGAGAGTGAAGGTCTCACATCATCTGGTTCTCACCACACCCGCCACAGCATTCCACCTTAAAGAGCAAGAGTGTCATCTGACTGCTAAATGGTGCCAAGGCTGTGTTCATCTTCATTAAGACCCCCATACCTCACTGACAGACGGACATCCACGGCTCTGTTGGAAACAGACTGAAACAGGGGTTCTCAAATCCAATCGTGCAACTTAATCAGCTGGAGGGCTTGTTAAAATACATTTCTGATTCGGTGGCTCTGGGGAGCCTGAGAATGGCATTTCTAACAGGTTCCTGAGTGATGCTGAGGCTGCTGTTCCAGGAACCATACTTTTGAGAACCATAGCACTGAAGGAACTGGGATTTCCATTGGTCCCAATATCATTGGCAAAGAAGTAGGACATATGCTCTGAACACAGCAACAGAGGAGAGCAAGTCACAAAAAGTATACAAATCAGTCCATGTTTTAACCACTTGCGTTCACTTACCACGGCAGCAATTTCTGCTCCAGATTTGTGGTTTAAAGCAGCCAGGACGATCGAAGCAATAAAGAAAAAGAAAGTGCTGAGTCCAGTGTTGACCAAATCCTGATGAAAAAAGATAAAATAAAATCATTTGAAAAGAATCATTTCATGCTTTGCCCTAAAAGCCATTGAAGAACTTTCAAAATGAGAAGCACAATACCCAGCCTCTCTGATGGCTCCATATTTTAGTCTCGATGGCCCAGGGGTGTTGGTCATACAAAAGAAGGCAAAGATGGCAACAGTTTATGATGATACTTGATAAATTACCACAGCCAAATCTACATTTTAAGCAACCATGCTACCATTTCTTAATGACATTCTTTGAGAACCCCAAACTGCTAACACATCAAGGACATGCACACTAATTACTATTTAGAGGTTCTATTGTCATCTTTCAAAAACTCATTCAAATCATCCTGGCATGGACAAAGCTCTCCAAGAGCCCAGAATGTACTGAAACTGGCGAAATCCCCTCCAACATCCCCTCATTCGTGACATTTCCAGAGCAATTTTCAGACCTAGGGAACAAACTTCACCAGACCTCACACTCTTTTTTATGTAGTCTTTCAAGCCTCTGTCGTTAAAGCCTAAAGGATTTGCTCCTAAGCTTCTTGCAAAGCAAATCAGGTTACATATCCAATGCTTCAAAGATTTAACTCCTGTATTACTTGTCAAGAGGACCACAGCACAGTGATTAAAAGTCACAGCCAGACTTGGGTCCTGACCAACCATGACCTTGGACAAGGCACTTCGCTTCTCTACATCTTATGTGAAAATACACCCCCTTCTCCTAGAGTTTCTTAAGAATTAAGTGACAACACATGTAAAGAGCCGATCATTGTGCCTGGCCTGTAGTTAGCGTTTCCTGTACATTTATGGTTACTTCTGTTATTACTACTTTGGCATCAGGCCCCACCAGCCTGGGTTATACCTGAGTGCCTCTGTGATCTTCCAGGGGAAGAAAATGCAGGCAAAATCCTAAACTGCTTCAGTACCCTGTTGACTGGACCATCAACACCAGGTAGGTCCCCCCGGCTGGTCTGGCTTCGAGGTCCATTTCTGATTTTTAAAGATGCAAAAAAGGCAATGTTCGCATCATAACAGTACTGAGCCTGTGCAGCAGGAACCCCAACACACTGGCCAGTGCTCTGTATGGGCTCATGGGAGCAGCAAAGTTCTGACTTCGAAACTGTTCAGAGATGGTCTGCCAGCAGTAATATCTTTCAGCTTTGACCAAGGTGTGAGGCCTGGGCAAATTTCTCACAAATGCAAACCAAGAAGTGTTTAGTTACACTCAGCTCTGGGTAAGGTGCTACAGGGATAAAGAAGAATATAAAATGTACTTTCCAAACCAGACTGTTCACAAATAGGGAAAATGTCTTATCATACAATGCTGAAGCCAAAAGTCAAACAAAATAGTATGCATATTAATGGTGATTATGTAAAAATATATATGTGGTAAAGTGCTGATAAGTAGCAGAAGTTTTGAAGAGGTTCATGTTATTTGTCTACAAATTCCACATCTGGAAATTTATCTTAATATATTATCCTAGTGCAAAAAGGTCTAAGTATAAGGATGTTCACCGTTATATTATTTAAAATAGCAAAAAACTGGAAGCAAACAAAAATGCTCAAGAATAGGGGCTCTGTTAAATAAAATGGCATTTCCATAAAAGAACACTATAAGGTTATTAAAAGTAATGATACAATTGTGTAACACAGAAGATAATCAAGGTAATTTAAATCAAAAAGCATGACTTTAATGGTTCCACTTTTTTCTACTCACACAACACACATTGCATATGTGAAAGACAGTCTAGAGAAAATGAGTTTTTACTTAAGTGTTACAAGTGGTGACCCTGGATGGGTTCAGTTACATATGAATTTTTAACAGCTTTATTGAGATGTAATTCATATACCATATAATACATCTAATTAAAGCATACAATTAAATTATCACAATCTAATTTTAGGACATTTTCAGCACCTCAAAAAGAAACCTCATACTCATTAGCAGTTAATTCTTCATCCATCCCCTACTCCCAGGCAACCACCAGTTTGCTTTCTGTCTCTATGGAAACCTATTGTGACTGGTTTCTCCCACTTGGTATAATAGTCCTAAGGTTCATTCATATTGTAGCATATAACAATACTTCGTTCCTTCTTAACACTGAATAATATTTCATGTACGGATACAACACATTTTTTTTATTCATCGGTTTATGGACATTTCAATTGTTTCTACTTTTTCATTTATAAATAATGCTACTATGACCTTACAAGCTTTTCTGTAGACATACATTTTCATCTCTTGAATCATCATATGATTTTTTCCTATTTCATTATCTATAACTTCCAGTTTTTCTATAATAAACACTTACTAGTTGCACAGTTTAAAAAGCTTAAAACTGAAAATGAATGAATGAATGAATGAATGAATGGCTTGAAGCTAGAGTGCTGCAAAAGTTAATCAGCATCGACTCTTGGGTTCCACGGCCATGAAATAAAATCAAGGCTAGAGATTCACCCTTCGTGTTAAGCGGCACACACAGGCATGCCCTCAGACGTGGATTTTGGGGTGGCGGTTAGTCAACATTGGTGCTTCATTGTTTTTTATACTTTTAATAGACATGTACTCTATCGCCACATGCTTTCCAGTTTGCCACGGTCGTCCCCACTCCCTGCAGTCCACTGACCCTGCCCAGCCACCTTACGTTTCCTGTCTGGCCCCTAACGCACCCAAGGCTGCAGCCCTCCTTACACTGGGAGATGAAGAGGAAGGCTGCCCTCACATACGCATGCTTTCAGGTCTCTCCTTCAGTAACACACCAGCAAGTACAGGTGTGAGCCCAAGAAACTCTGACAACAGATCAAGGGGACCTGGCCTAGAGGGCAATAACTCGAGGCCTATGGGCCATATCTGGCCCATAGATATGTTTGACTTGTACAGTGTTCAAAACAAATTTGAATAAGCCAACATTTAAACACCAGAAGCCTGCACATAAAAACTAACTTCTAAGAAAAGTAAAACAAAACAAAACCCAACTTCCAGCTGCTCTTGAAAATGTGTTCCAGGGGTCCCACGACGCGATACCACAATTGGCTGGGGCCAAGTAGGAAGACCAACTTCTCCGCCTCCCCATCCCGGGTCCATCTTCTCACTCGCCCATTTACACCACGTGCCCAGACCCCAGCAGGCCCTGCGTCTGTAACCCTGCTCCAAGCCCAGAGAATGGCCACCGACGACATGCCCCATGCTTCCGTTCTCTGTGCCCGGCAACCATCCGTTCATCCCTCAAGGCCGAACTGGAATCTGGCCTTTTCTCTGACCCACTCCAGGGCTCCTGCCTGAGGAATCCACTCCCTCCTCGCCTGTGTTCTCCCAGGCCTTACACTAAACTGGATCATAAGAGGACACATACCACAGTAGAGCAGCGTGCACCTACCTACCCTATACTTTCAGTTCCCAAAACCTGGCACAAAGCAGGTGTTTGAGCATGATCGTTGGAAACGATCACAGACGAGGCATTTATAAACAGGTCCAGTCCCGGGCTGTCACAGCAACTGCTCCCAAACCCCTGGGTACTGTGGCTGGCTCTAGTCTTAGCTCTACACACAGCTGAAAGGAAGTTTACAACACTGTGCACTGACTTGTGCTCAAATGGTCCCAGTATCAAAGGGACAATCATAAGACTGACGACAGTGGTGGCTACCATCTATGGAGAGCCTACTGCGCCAACCATATAACTCCAGCAACTCAGTGAATCCTAATCTAATTTTTATCCAAAATACCTATAAGGCGGAACACATTATTTTCTTCCACTTTTAAAAATATGGAAATTGAATCCCAGAGAAGATGAGTGTTGTATAACAAAAAATATATAATTGGTCCCTGTCCCTGTTCCTTAGAATTTCTGGAGTGATAAGACTTCTTTTGTCATTCATATCAAGGCCCTTTCCACCCACCCAGAGTTTATGCTAATGAGGTGACTCTCTGGAGTCACCAGATAGTTTCAGGATCCGGGCTGGTTACCAGAAAAACCAACCAGGTGATTAGAGGGTTGGAACTTTTAGCTCTACCACCTCCAACTTCTAGGGACCAGGGAGAGGGGCTGAGGATTGAGCTCAGTCTCCAAATGGCTAATGATTGAATCAATCACGCCTACATAGTGAAATCTCCATAAAAACCCTGAATTACGGGGTCTAGGGAGTTTCTGAGTTGGTGACTACATCCACGTGCTAGGAGGGTGTTTGCACCTCAACTACATGGGATAGTGGCTCCAGCACTTGAGACTTCGGGACCCTGCCCTGTGCATCTCCGCTTCCATTTGGCTGTTTCATGGTTGTATCCTTTATCACAAACCCATAATCGTAAGTAAAGCACTTTCCTGAGTTCTGTGAGTTGTTCTAGAGAATTATCGAACCTCAGGAGGCGGGGTGTGGGAATTCCACATCTGCAGCTGGCCAGACAGAAGTGCAGGTCACCTGGGAACCCCATCTGTGGCTGATGTCTGAAGTGAACTGTTAGACACCCACTTGGTGTTAGAAAATTAGGAAATTTCTTGGTATGAAAAACTTATGCATAGTCAGTGTCACAAAAAAACCCCAGCACATTTGGTCTCAAAAGTGGTGTCAGAAAACACCACACAATGAATCATGGCCAAAGCCTCAGGGCTCTGCAAGTGACTGTTCTGGGTGACTTCAGACTGTTCTCAATGCACCACAGCACCGGCCTGGGTTCTCGGATAGGAAGGGATCTGTGGGGGGAGTAGGGGCCACCGAGGCCACTGAAAAGAAATACCAAGGAAGAAAAAGAAAAACCAGGAGAATGTGGTGTCACAGGAGGCAAGAGCATAGAGGATGGCAGAAGGACTGAGCGTTCTGCAGCAAGTTCCCCCTGAAATGTTTAGTGGGGGAGGACTGAAGAATAATCAGAGGATCCAGGAACGTGGAGACCCCCAGTGTTCCTGACCAGAGGATTTTCAAAGATATAAAGTCATAGACTAGGGAGAAGGGCAGTAGCTGTGTTTGGGAAGGGGTATTGACACTATCCTATCTCTGGACCCAGGTGGTAGCTACACAGTCTTTATCATTCTTCATTAAATTATACATTAACGTTTACAAAATTTTCTGAATATGCTGTATTTGACGATAAACAGTGAGAAAAGAGGGATTAGGAGGTAGGGAAATAGAGAAGGCATGTGTAGATCCCCCTTCCTCTTTACAGATGTTTGGATGAGCAGGCCTTGATGGGCTCTGAGTGCCAGCTAAGGAAGGCTTTCAGGGTCTGAAGGGGATGGAAGAGAGGCATGAGGTGGGGGAGGAGGCAGGTGGTACTGATCAAGGTAAACACAGGTGGAACACATGGGTGTGTGAGCTCCTATTATACAGAGAAAAACAAATATTGCAGAATAAGTTCCATAGACTCATCAAAAAAAAAAAAATTACATTACCATAATCTTTCTGAGTGCTTCAAATTATGCTTGTACAAAACATATACTTTATGTCAACCTCCTTATTTACCATTTTTCATGCATATTTGTGTCAACCTAAGCTCCTGAAATAACCCATTTTTTCTAAATCCATACCAATCACATCCTGTTTCACTCATCGGCAGGCTCTGTTGGGGACAAAAATACTCTAACCAACTTGTTAGAGAAACAATACATCGAAAGCCAACCCTCTGTAGTGACTTGATGAGCTGGGATCAACCCTGAAGAACTCACTTTTGCTGCCCTCCCAGAGAACAGATGATCTGAGCACTCTTCAATACAATAAATACCATCTCTTCAAGTTCATGTAACTCACATACACTTTTGCTGGATAAGTGTACACCTTCATCTGCTCTAAAGGGTAGAAATTCTGAAAAGGATCCCAAGGGACAGGAAAGTATTCTCAAGTGACACAGTACCACCTAACCATTTGCCCTAGCCAACACCAGCCAGAAGACAAGGATGGACATTCATTGACCAGTAAAAAAGATGTACTTTGATATGACCAGATGGTGTGGTAGCCAACAACTGAAAAGTCTTTCACGATTAAATAGAAAAATCAGAATTCCAGAAAGATCACTAAATAGGTATTTTGGAGGATAAAGGCCAGGATGGATTAGTAAGAAATATGAAGTATAAAGTCTTTTAACAGATTTATGGCTGTCAAATAAGCAGATAAGACAGAATTAAAGGAGTTGAATCAAACCTGGTAGAAGTCTACAAGAGAATGATACAGTTGGTAGACAACAGGGGCCTTTTACTTATGCTAAAATTACTACTTATCAGACTGGAACCAGTGTCCACTGGTGTGAGGTACCTTTATACATATTATCTCATTTCATTTTTAAAACTGCCCTATAAGAAAATATTATCATCTCCATTTTACCAGTGGTGGGTCTTTACCAACATGAGGCTCTAAGTGGCTTTCCCAAGGATCACCACACAGCCCCTAAGAGCCACCTTGGACTTGAAGCCAGACAGGTCTGTCCAACTCAAAGGCCCTGGTCTTAACCTTCCCAGAAGCTGCTTTTTTGTCAAATAGGTCTTCTGATAGGATTCACTCACAACCCAGCCCCACTCTTCCCTCAACAACTATTGATTGAGAAGGCCTTAGAAACAGGAATCTGGGATACCAGTGAACCTTGACCCTGTGGAGCCTGAATATTGGTTGGGGGAGGTTGGTAAGGTTCTCTTATACGATCTACCACACTATCAATTTAGATCACAACTCTGTAAACATTTTCTTATACTTTATCTTAAAAATGGTTGAGATATTAAAACCTGTCACAAAAACTTGACAAAAATGCCTCCAATATCTTGAGGTTTTAAAGTTTAAATTTAAATTTAAATCACAGTTTTCTCAGTTTTCAATGCTGAGATCAAACCAGCTGAGTTTTCAACAGACATCAATTTTTCTAGTTCAGTTCTCCTCTTATTTTTCCTCCTAAAAGAGTTCAAATAACAGAGAGAGAGCATCCTGCCAGAAAGACCCTCTCCGTGGCACCCCACAGGGTCATCATGAGAGTGGCCCTGCCAGGCAAGGCAACAAGCTCCGGCCTCCTCCCTGGCTCCCTCACATGGGCCACTGTTTCTGCAGCGCTGCACACACCCAGCACCTGCCAAAGAGAGAGGAGCTCCCCCGAGGGTAGGCGGTCTCAGCCCTGCCCCCTCCCCTCCTCCTATGGCCCTCTTAGCAGCTGTGGGGCCCACAGGGTTCTCCTCCCACTGGCACAGAAGGGTGAGGCAGCTGACTGCTTTCCTGTGTCTCTCTGATTCCCTTTGAGCTCTTGCACGTGCTTATTTGCAAAGAAATATCAAGAAAACCAAGCACTATTAAGTTTCCTCTCTTGTTTAGCACAGTAAGGACAAGTAACATAAGTCCAGGGAAAGGGGCCTGGGAGTAACCTGCCCTGAGTTTCCCCTGCCAATCAGAGGGCAAGGCTGTCAAATAGGGTTAAGAACCCAAACCACAGAGAGAAGAGGACACATGTCCACTTAAGACTCTTTAGTAGTTTTACTAAACCTCCCGGGTCTTCCCAGTTGCTTTGAATAGACACATGTCCACTTAAGACTCTGATCAAACTACTAAACCTCCCGGGTCTTCCCAGTTGCTTTGAATTTAATAATATTCCTAGACTTTGCAAGGTACTGGCATTTTTATTCATATTTTCTATTCTTCCTGAATCAACACTTTTTTTGTAAATGGCTTTTGGGTCCAGTGCGAAAAATATGCAAAAATGTATTAACTTTATTTTCTCTTTCACATATTCTGTAAATATCAACATTACCAATCATCTCAGAGGATCATGAAGTTGAAATGACATCTTTAAAGAGGTCAAAATAATTATTATGATGTTTCTACTATTAGTGAAGATTCCATTTATTTTATAGTTTTAGTCAACCCGGTAAAGAAATTTAAAATTTCACAGTTGAATTACAATGGACTAGTTAAGTAGCATAATAAACTGGAACCAAACACGAAATGGAGAGATTCCAACTTTCCCTTGGAGCCGAGTAGCACCCGATCCTTTCGCAGTCAGAGAGTGGCAACTTGTACTCACTGTCAGGTTCCAGTTGATCTGGGGGATCCTCATGTGAAGGTTGAGACTGAACAGAATCAGCAAAACTCCAGTCACCACAAATGCACTACAGCTCACAAACTCAAAAAAGTAGAGGCCTTCACACGGGGAGCACTCCATGATGGTCTCTATGCAGATGAATGCAATCAGGGCCAAAATCTAGGAAGAAAATGGGACACACACATGTATGTGTATATTCAGCACACATCGGTGCACATATGTGCCTACCACATTTAAAAAAAACTCAACCACCACCATCACATGCAGCCACAGAGTTTTCCTCTGAGGACAGCAGTATCATTATCGAGAATATGACCTGATCCAATTCTTCCGAAAGAACAGGTATGGGGCCTTCGGGAAAGGATCAAATTCCCCATGTACCTAACTAAGCCCCAGCACAGTGCGCTAAAGCCAGTCTGGTGCGGTGTGGCCCTTGAGAGGGAGCAGAAAGGAACATCTCTGCGATGTTTTTAGTTTTACCTCTGCCTATGCACGCTTCTGATTTAGTCTCTACCACAACTATGTCAAACATTGAGAAGGCGAGATCCTCGTGGTGTCCATTTTATGCCATCTGCAACTACCTTTGCAGTTCATGCTGAGGTCACACAGGCTGACTGGGATCCTGATGGCTTTAAGGATGGTATAATCTCTTCCCTCAATTAGAAGTCCCTAAAAACGAGGTCCATTTATCTAATTTATAAGCTATGCTTTTTAAAAGTTTATCATTGAGCTTGATCACAAAAAGGCAGACTGGCAGCTGATAAAAACATTTTTAAATCTACCAATTATAGAATCAATTTCTTCCTGAAGGACCAAAGGAACATTTTAACAATATATCCCAAGAGCTTAGAGATCATAAAGTAAAATAAGTGTTAACAGAAAATTACCAGGTGAGCTTTCAAAGGAAGATTTCAGGAGGAAGAAGAGGCCCAAAGGCTGATTTAACGGCCCTGTGATCACGGAAAGATGAGGTGCTCTCGCACCTAAAACTGGATCGGTCTTGGGCTCCCGGCCTCCACTTCACTTCTTTAACAGAGCACCTCACAATCGACCGCATGTCAAGCCTATGCCAGAGCTTCCAGGCCAGACCCCACCTCAAAGGTCAAGGAAGTACAGGCAGGCATCCCCACTGTCCCAGATTTGTCCTTAGAGCTAGTGACATCGGCATCACCAGGGAGCGTGTTAGAAATGCAGAATCTCTGTCTCCCCTCCTTGACCTACAGAGTCAGAATCTGCATTTTTGACATGGTCTCCAGATGATTAAAGTGTGGGAAGTATGCAAGGCATGGGCAGTTCTGGGCTCTTCTCTGCCTATCGTGCTTTTCAATGTTCCACTCAATGCCACCTCCGCCCCATGCCTTCCCTGACTGTGGCGCTCTCTGCCAGGCATTATCTGATTCCACCCTCTCTTAGGAAAGCCTGCTTGTCTGTGATTGCGTTCTACCCTTTTTTATACTTACCATTATGCATTTCTCCACCTTCTGAGCTTTATGAAGGTCAGGGCCAGTCCATCGCTCTCTACGCCCAAGACACTAAGCACAGTAACTCGCATGCAGCCAGCAATCCGGGGCTCATGGAGCCACTGAAAACCCACACCAACAATTCCTGATGTACTTATTAGCATCTCCACAGGAAATGAAGGGTGGCTCTGCTTTTCCCACTGTCAATACTTCCACACAAAAACACGCGTTTCACGTTTCTATTATAAGTCATTAAAGACATGGGTCTTAAAGCACACACTTTGTGCTTCTCTCAATGGCTCTCCTAATTCCCTACAGAACCATAGACTTTAATTCTCCATCTGAATTACATGCCTGACTTGCAATCAATTCACAAAGAAATAGTTCATATAAGGGAAACTCCTAAACTTTTTTTTTTTTTTTTTTTTACCCCTGTAATTGGATCTAGCAATCTTGGGCAAGAAATAACACACTGTACTGATGAGTTACAAATGTTTCTGGTATGCTAATTTCAACCATATTTGTGTAGGAAGGTAACACCTACATTCTTAAATATTAAAATAAGCATCGGTTCAAGAATATGCAAATCTAATAGGCCATTCAATACAGCAGTGAACAACACAAAAAAATTTCCTGCTCTCTAGCTCATATGCTAATGAAAAAGTTTTAGAAAAATGAAAAATACAGTATGTTAGGCAGTGATAAAAGACGAGAAATCAAAGCAGGGAAGGAGAATGAAATGTCACTAGGACAAGAGTGTTTGAGATTTTAGGCAGGGTGACCATGGAAGGCCTCGTTGAGAAGGTTCCAGATTTATGACACAGTTTATTAATGGTTTATCATAAAGGGTATGAAAGGATACGATTGAACAGCTCGATAAAGAGATACAAAGGGCAAGGTCCAGAAGGGTCTCAAACACAGAAGCTTCTGTCCCTGCGGAGTTTGGAATGTACCTGCCACCCTCCCGCACGGGAATGCATTCTGGTTCACCCACCTGGAAGGTTCACCGACATGGAAGCTCATCAACTCTCCTGTTCAAGAGTTTTTATAGAACTTCATCTGTAGTCCCCTGCCCTTTCCCCATCCCAGTGTCGGTGGGTGGGGTTGAAAATTCCAACCCTCTAATCACCAGGTTGGTTCCCCTGACAACCAGCCTCCATCCTTAGGTGCTTTCCAAAAGTCATCTCGTTAACACAAACTCAGGTGTAGTTGAAAGGGGTTTGTTGTGACTATCAAGAGACACCTTTTTCACTTAGGAAATTCTAAGGGTTTTAAGAGCTCTGTGCCAGAAACGGAATGAAGACAAAATATATATTTCTTATTATAAATCACAATAATTCATATATAGAGATGTAGAGATAAGATTCATAAATATATTCACAACTATACACATACAATAATTTAATTAATCTCCTATTGATGGGTATTTAGGTGGTTTCTAATACTTTTTCTAATAGGCAGTACACTTTTTTTTGCCTGCTTTTGGCCCAGCAAATGTCAAATTTTCTTCCAGCACAATCTACTGCTGAAGTAAAACCTACTCATCAACCAATGAGAAGAAAATAAGGACTCATTGTTATACTGGGAGTCAACAATTCAAGACAACCAGAGTAAAAAGTCATTCCACACATAAGAACTTTGAAGTAGACAAATGTCACATGTAAAATTGCACAGAGACATTCAAGATGTAAATGAGGAACAGCTATTGTATTTGCTAAGCAGGAGATCCTGGGTGCCCTTGGAGAGAGGCCCTCCTACGTAGCACCTACCAATTGACCAGGAGTCAATATTTACATAGTTGATAAGTAAATTGATATTAAAAGGTCGTCAGGTTTCCACAACTGGAGCTAATTATGATTGCCGGCATCAAAAAGTAGAGAGAGAGAAAGGGCTGGCTGATTAAGTTACTCTAAAACTTTAAAACTTCCTGAGAGCCCATGTTACTATTGGTGGCAGTGTAAACTGCCCAGATCTTTCTGGAGGGCTGTGGCAATCAGCAGTACCGCTCACCAAGAGGCACATGGTGGGGTTGGAGATTTGTGCTTGAGACTTTCCCAGGGCAGATTTATTCTCAAAATGATGACGCTTCAGAACTCACCACTCCAACTTCCTATCTATCACAATTCTTTTTGCTAGGTGGTGATAAAGAGCAATGGGCATTTTGGGGCTTTGGCAAATTGGACATTGAATGAGAGAGGCGTTAAAATGCGTTTAGCTGTCACTTCCATGTGCAGTTATTGGAGCCTTCCCACAGTACAAATGGCTTCCAGATATGCTTTGATCTGACATCATGATGAAGAAACAGGCCCCACAATCCACAAGATCAATGGGTCCTACAATGCCATAGGAGTGTATGGGTGGTGAAGGAGAGATGGGGTTTAAAACATACAGAGCCAGAAGCTCATCTGTGGAGAATCCTTCAGATCATCAAATGCATAACACTGTGAGTGGACGATTCTGTTTTCATCAGTGCCTAAATGGAAGTTGTGCCCTATCAGGAATATATCCAATAATGCAGAATATGCAATTATAAACACACTCTACATTTCCTTCCTTTTTGGTGGGAATCACGTAAAATAGAATTTATCAGAATTCCAGGGTTCATAGGGCAGAAACCTGCAGTGGTACTATAAAGACCAAGTACATATGTGTGAGAGATTACAGCCCAAGCACCCCAATGTATGAGATCTGGCATATTTGACAAATCTTGAACTGACGAAGTCCAACACTCCTGAATAAAATGGCACACAAAACTGCCTCCAACGCATGGAAACAGCCTGAAGAAACAAATGTTCCTGTGACAATCTCCTACACACATTCATTAGGAAGTCAATGTATGTAGTATAAAAGTGTACTGATTGTATAATGCAATGCAGTGCAGTGGCGATCTAAAATTTGAAGTGTTCTGCTGTCCATCTACATTTCAGATTGGTTTTGTATACTTTTTCAGAGTTAACTGATTATACTAAAATTCAAATGTGATCTATCTTAATAGAGGCAAAAACAGAAAGAAAACACTTTTTACATTTGTAATTGAATGTGTTTCTCATTCTAAATACTCACTATTGCATCTAATTTCATATTTTTAATTTTATATCTTTTTCCTTACAGTGGGCCTCCAAAACTGTGTGAGCCTCAAGTCCCTCAAAACCTGGATCTACTTCTGAGTTTGGGCAACGAAAGGTGAGTGGATGAGACACATCCGTAACTTCTGGCAGCAGCTTTTGGAGACCGTGAGCAATTTCATCATGCTTTCTCCCCTGCCACAGCAGCCAGCAATATTCCAGGTGGGGGTGGCCTCTGTGTAAAGGCTGATGCGCAGCCAGCTTCCAGATGACCTGAGATGAGTGTGTAACATAAGAGAGAAGGAGAACTCCCTTGTGTTAATCCAAAGAGATTTTAGGTTTGTTACTACAGCACAATCCAGCCCATGCTGACAAGAAAGGGCACTTTGACAAAATGCTAAATTAGCACATGTCCTGGATATCCAGTACAAAACTGCAAATTTAGGATGAATATGTTACCACCTTATTCACTCTAAAGTCACCAGATCCAAATGGTTTTACAGACAAACTCTTACCAGATTGTCAGATAAAGATACTGACTAAGTTATTTAAACTCTTTTATAATAAAGTATTCAGAATTTCAGGAATCTATCTATGTGGTTAGATGGTGGGTAGATTTTTTTATTTTATTTTA